GGGGGCAGGGCCCTCCCCACGCCTGTCTGCACTTCCTGGTGCCTGAGCTCACCCTCCTGCTCCCATATTGAGATGGGGCTCTGATGTGACGTTGCTTACTTCTTGCCGAGAAGGTTGGTGGGTTGATTACAGGAGAGGATCCTAAAGTTTGAGAGGAAAAATGGAAGGTCCGAGAATGTGCAGAAGCCATGTGTGGGCCGTGCTGACACTCAGGGGCATGACAGGAGGCTGTGAGGACCACGTGTGCTCAGGACCTGTGCCCATCACTGGGCGCGCAGGCCATCGCGGGCTGTGATATGCTCTCTCGGCGGGGTCGTCTTTTCTGTGACTGGACCTTGGTCCTCAGTAGAAGCTTGTCCACGCAGGACCTGTGCTCACAGGGACTCACACATCACCCAGGCCTGTGTCTGTCCTAATGAAGTGCCTCTCCACTCTCCAGGACCGTGGACAGCGAGGACTTCCTGGGCCGGTTCAGCCTAGGCCCCGCTGGGTCTGGTGCTCAGCGCCCATCTTCTGGGTGTTTGTTGTTTCTGTGTTATTGTAGATATTATGCTTGTTAACGTTTTTGTGAATGAGTATCCCTCTCATTCTTGGGTGTCCCCCGTCTGATACCCACAGGGGTCACGGTGCCTATCATCGTCCCACCAGACCGTAACGGAGGGGGTGTCCCTGCACACAGGGGTCCGTGGTATCAGTAGAGAACTTCAGGCTCACTTGCTCTTACCTCCTTCTAGGGCCTGACTGTTCTTTCCGTGTCCTCCTGGACTCTCCGAGGACCCAGGTTCAGGAGTAGCAGAGAGGAGGGTCCCCTCATCGCTCCCCTGATATCCGTCCCTGTTAGGAGGTGCTCTCCCCACCGCCCTGTCCCACGGCCCTGCGCTCTAGTGCCGGCTGAGCTCGAACCCCAGATGTTAGGTGATTTAGGGGAGCGGCGCTGAGGGCTGTGCAGGTCAGTGCTGTCACCGTGAGCACACATGCTGTGGCTGCCGCGCCGGATGGCTGTGGTCTGAGGCCACATTAATAAAGACACTGTTTCCAGTGTAGGGAGGTGCTCATTCAGGGACCCGTCTTGGTTGAGTGACAGATGTGTGGCACTGTTTCCGCATCTGGGGAACATCACGGAAGTAGCAACCATAGTTCTCAAGAATTTGGAACGCACCCTGGCTGGTTTGGCTCAGCGGTTAGAGCATTGGCCCGAGAGCCAGAGAGACCCGGGTTCGATTCCCACTAAGGGTGGGTACCTCGGTTGCAGTTTGTCCCCGGCCTTGATTGGGGTCGTGGGGGTGGCAACCACTCAAATGTCTTTCTCACATCAATGTTTCTCTTTCATCCTCCTTCTTTTCCTCCTGCTCTATCTGAAGATAAATGCAAACAATGCATTTGGGTGAGGATAAAAAAGAAAAATTGAAACTCATATCCCCAGAGATGTCATTTTATGTCATCTGTAGTGTCGGTGACACTGTGTACATGGATGTCTCCAATGAGGAACCAGCCTCACCCCCGCTGCGAATCACTGCCAGACACCGCTGTGATTATCAGTGATTAGTCAATCAATCAGATGCTGCGAATGAACAGCTGATCCACGGGCAGGAAGGTTGTCTGTGTTCCCTGTGGAGGAGTAAGTTCCGAGTCAGTGTTGTCCTCTGTGGTGGAACTGAGACAAGGCTGCGTCACAAGTTCCTTTAACCCTGGTCGGGTGTGGTCGGTGGTTAGAGCATCGGCCTGAGGACTGAAGCGTTCCGGGTCCGATTGCTGGCAAAGGGCATGTGCCTGAGATGCAGGTTTGACCCCTGGTTCCAGGTCAGGGTCCTATAGGGTGTAACCCATCGCTGTGTATCTCTCACATCAATGTGTGTCTCTGTCTCTATCTCTCCCTTCCTCCCTTCCACTCTATGTAAAAAATCAATGGGACTATAGCGTCAGGTGAGGATAAACCAAGAAAAAAAGTTCCTTTGACACTATTTATTATGCAATTCATACAGAATTTCTAATGGGCATCGTATAATGCTCTTGTGTTTCCAAAATCAGGCTGACACCTAGGATTGGCCCACACTGAGCATCTCCTTGTATTACGAATCAGCCTCTCCCTTGACATAAAGGCGACAATTCCTGCCACGATGGCCCCAGGTCTTCTGAGCCTGGAGACAGTGCCATGGGAAGGAAGCTAGGCTAACCCCCTCTGGATCCTGGGAGTCCCTAATGTCTACCTGACTGCACAGGAGACCATCGACATAGTCACCCAGAAAACCCTTCTCTTGGTCCCTCAGTGGACAACCAAGCATATGTCCTTCTTCCTCTTTTGTGGATTTTCCCTGGGAAGAGGTATTTCTGACATACAGACAGGATTCAGGGGAAATGCTTAGGACAGATGGCGGGATACCCTCAGAACCTTTTGACATGGAGAAAACGGCCAAAGGACCAATTGAAGGTTGGGGGAAATGAGAGAATGTGTATTAAATACATGAAAAGATGACCCTGAGTCACAGGAATGTTCAATGCAGCAGCTCATTTAATTTGGTGTTTATCGAGATTGGTGTCAATAATTTATGTTTTTTGCATTCATTTGCTAATGTTTGGAATTTCACCAATGTCAACCATGATGTCAACACCAGCAGGATGGACTTACTATTACCTTTTGTCCACTGTTTCCATCAATTAGGGGCACGAGAGAAAGCAGAGAGTGTATGAGACATCGCTGGGCCTTCCCCTCGAATTTACTGTCAACTGAAACTGCTCTAAATAATAGAGTTTGTAGTCCAGCCGGTGTGGCTCAGTGGGCTGAGCGTCATCCCAGGGACTGAGAGGTCCCAATTCGATTCCTGGTCGGTCAGGGCACATGCCTGTGCTGTGGGCTTGATCTAATAGAGGGGGCATGCCGGAGGTAGCGATCGATGGTTCTTATTCACATCAATGATTCTCTCTTCTTTAAAACAACATAAATAGCCCTGGCTGGTTTGGCTCAGCGGTTAGAGCAGCAGCCTGCGGTCCCGAGAGATCCGGGTTCGGTTCCCGCTAAGGGCATGTACCTTGGTTGCAGTTTGTCCCTGGCGCCGGTTGGTGGTGCAGGTGGCAGTCACTCAATGTGTCCCTTTCACATCGATGTTTCTCTCCCTCCTACTCTATCTGAACAAAAAGTGTCCTCGGGTGAGGATAAAAAAATAAATAAATAAATAAAATAAAACAATATAAATAGCCTGACCGGTGTGGCGCAGTGGTTGAGCGTTTGATTCCAGGTCAGAAACATACCCATTTGGGGGCGTGATTGTGGGTCTAATTCCTAGTGGGGGGGCGTGCAGGAGGCAGCCAATCGATGTTTTTTCTCATCAGTATTTCTCTCTCCCACACCCATTTCTCTTTCTCTAAAATCAGTAAACAAAAAAATTAAAATAATCTAATAAATAAAAATGCAAAAATAGAAAAGGGAAGAACTCAATGAGAACTATCTCACTCCATTAGAAAGAGCAACAAAAGCCCTGTCCGGTTAGCCTCAGTGGCTAGACCATAGGCCCAAGGACCAAAGAGTCACTGGTTCGATTCCAATGAGACACGGGTTCAATTGTGGTCAAGGGAAAGTACCTCCTTTCAAGTTTGGAAGCAAAATTATACTTACAAAAGCTGAGGTATTGGAAGTTATGCAATGAAGTCCAAGTGCCAAATCAGGAGCCCCTTACCTGATTCTTCCTGCCCACCCTGCTAAGTCTTACAACACTGTTTTGAGAAATCTGGTTACTCTCGCCTATAAGTTACTTCTCCTGCAGTAACAACAGGCAAGCATCAAGATTCCTCCGCTTGGATCTCTACTGTTTCCCTCTAGTCCCTCCTCATCCACGTGAACCAGCCACACTAGGAGAGAGGGGCTCATGCATACGGAATTCTCAGCACCAAGGACAGAGGCGCCGAGCTCCTAGGTCTTGAACTGCACCTACAACTAAGACAGAGACCAATCTCGAACTGATGCTCCAAGCATGACTGCAACCCAGCGAAGGGACCCCGTTGCAGCTTAAAAACTAAAATTTTCGTTTTTAAAAAATTATGCTAATTAGCAAAAATTAATTTAAATCAGAAAATTAATAAACGAGACACACCATGTAGAATTTTTGGGTTTTCCTGGACACTTCTGCAAGATTGGGCAAATTAACTTCTTCGTGGTCTTATTTCCCCATGAAAGAAATAGATGGTGTCACGTGGCTCAGGAACAAGGCCCTGGCTGGGGGCTCAGTTGATCGGAGTGTCCTCCCTACACCAAAAGCTGGTCGGTTTAATCCCTGGTCCGGGCATGTGCAGGAGGCAATCAATCAATGTTTCTCTCTCTCCCTACCTGTCTCTGAAATCAAAATTTAAATAATTGAACTGTTTTTTAAAAGGAAAAAAAAACCATAGCCAGTTTGGGGCTCAGAAGTTAGAATGTCGCCCGTGGACCACAGTGGATGCTTCTCTCTCTGTCTCCCCTTCTCTGTCTTCCTCCCTCCCACACTCCTTCCCACACTATCAGAAGATAAATGAAAAAAAAGTATCTTTGGGTGAGGATTAAAAATAACAAATCACAATTTATTGGAGAGCCGGGAACATGATCGATGCAGGTTGAGTTTACATTTGAAAATTATATACATATATGTTATATTTATATATGTATGAATACTTTTTATATGTTTATATCTATATATACTTTTACACAATTATATCCTTACATACACCTTTGTATATCTATATACTTTTTAAATACTTATATATCTGCATACACATTATTCTTTCTATATATATACTTTTTATACAATTATACATATTTATGTATACTTTTATATATTTATATGTATACTTTCTTTCCAGTTATAAATATGTAACTTTTATACATTTATATACTTTTTAGATGTATAGATAATACTATTTTATTTATTTACTTATAGCTATGTTTATATATTTACAGATTTTTACATATGTGTATCTAATTTTGGTTTTATATTTATATTACGAGGTATGAATTCATCCACATGACGGTGACTCCAGGCAGGTGACAGAGACCGCCCCCGTGTAGACTGTGCTGCTCACGCAGCCCCGCGGGACCTGGGACAGGCCCCAGACCCAACACCAAGAGCACAGACCCAGAGGAAATGCCCTCTGCAAGCTCTGCGCCCCCTGGCGGAGGGATCCTGCCATGCGTGAGCCTCACCTCAGCCTTCAGCACAGAGGTGGGGGGAGCTGAGGCCGCTCTAGGCCTCCGGGGAGACAGAGGGACAGGATCTGTCACAGTGGGGATGACACAGCCCGACCTGCCGCAGGCGGAGGCGCTGCCTTAGAAAGACGAGCACCGGGCCTCGCACAGGGAGTCACGGACCTAGAGCAGGAGGAGCCCTTGCCCTTGGCGGCAGCACGGACACCGGGAGAGCGTTACGCTGAGGGCAATACGCCCGTCAGAGAAGGACACGTGCCACAGGGTCACGCACAGGTGCAGTCTTAAAAATAAAAATAAAAAAACTCATAGAAACGAAGAGAAAAGGGATGGTTGCCAGATGGATAGGAGAAAGGGGAATATAGTAAATAAAACTGCGATAAGTTTGCACTGTTGCCTGAATTAATGGGATCATCACGTTTTGAGGTATAAAAACGACAAATCGCTACCCCCTGAAACCAACATAACTAATAAAAGAGTGCATACTCACCGTGATTAAGTTTTGTAAGCCGGAGTGGAGAGAACAAATGTGCACATTTGAAGAACAGGCTGACCTCCAACTTACACCCACGTCTGCAGGTGGCAGGTGGGCTGAGCCAGCACCTTGCAGGGGAAAGCCTGGGAGGTCCTGTCCAAACTCCCCTTGTCCACATGCAGCGCCTGGAAGCCCTGCTGGTGGTGAGCACTGAGCACAGGGCCCGCCCACAGGACAGTTTCTCGTTGTAGCTGTGGGAAGACAGACACGGTGACACTCTGGTGGCCACATCCAACTCCGGACATGCTCAGCACAGGCAGACACCGTTTCCAGACCCTCTCAGCAGGCAGACGCCCAGGCTGAACAGGGAGAGTAGCAGCCAAGTCCACGGAGTCCACCTGGCCCTGTGGTCGAGGCCCCAGCAATGGGTCAGGTCCATCTGAGCCACTGGTTACCGCTGTGGCCTGGGTGAGCGGTCCATCTTATTCTGCCTGCAGTTCTTCCTCTTTTAGGGGAAGATATTGATCATTGTGAACACAGGTTGGTATGGGGTGATCCATCCATAAGTGGGGAATTGGATCCAAAATCATGACCATACAGACTCTGCCAGGTGGCTCAGTTGGTTGGAGCATCGTTCGGTACACCAGGAAGTTGTAGGTTCGATCCCAGTAAGGCACATGCCTGGGTTGAGAGTTTGATCGCCAGTCAGGGAGTGTTCAAAAAGCAGCCAATCAACATTTTTCTCACACTGATGATTCTCTCTCTCCTTTTCTGTTTCACTAAGGTCAATGAATGTATCCTCGAGAGAGAATAAATTTTAAAATGACCATACAGCCCTGGCCAGTCTGCCTCAGCACTTGGAGCATCCTCCTGCAGACCAGAGAGTCCTGGGTTCCCGCTAGGCGCACGAACCAAAAATATAAATAAATAAAATAAAATGACCATACAGGTCTACAATAAATAAGTCCTGGGAATGTAATATACAGCATGATGACTATATTAATAATAACATATTGTATACTTAAAGTTGCTAAGAGAGTTTTTTTTCTAATTGATTATAGAGAGAGAGGAAGGGAGAGGGAGAGAGAGACAAAAACATCGATAAGAGAGAACAACGATTGGCCACCTTCCACATTCCCCTCACTGGGGATGACCACAACCTGGGCATGTACCCTGACTGGGACTTGATCCTGTGCATGGGACGATTCTCAAACAACTCAGCCACACAAGCTGGGTAATTTACCATAATTTTAAAAATCTGTTCCGTCATAAAGCTTTTTTCTAAACATTCTTTTTCTAGGTGAAACCTTCTGAATACAGTATTTTGTCCCTAAAGCCCTTTCAAATGCTGGCTGGTCAGTCCCCGCGCCCTCACACTACAGAGTGCAGAGTGGGGTGGGCATCCCCACCAACACTCCCTAGTACCTCACTGACCCTCATCAGGCAGACATGCGGCTCCACCACCTTGCTGGGCTGCAGCCCTCACAGTCCCAGGCACGACCCATCTCAGTCTACACAACTCATCCACCTGACCCCCTCCCACCCTCCTGGGACTTCTGTGGTCGTGCAAAACCAACATTGGCAACACAGTTATTTACATGGGGTTTAGTGTGAAATGCGGACCCACTAGAACTTCCAGATGGTGAAAGATTGATGGTTGGAAGCCCGTCACCATCCAAATGACCATTACAACAAGTCTCACACTTAATGCTCCCATTTGCACACCTGGCTTCTCCCTTCGTAATTTCCCCTCCTCCAAAACCTGGTTCTCATTTCTCTCCCCAGGTTACATGAATCTCACAATTAGAACAGAGAGAGCAACCAAGTCTGAGACTTTGACTTTGGGTATTTCCATCATTTCTCCTCGGTTCTCTGATACCAGACACCTAATGTCCTCCAACTCTGTCTCCATATTATGTTATTTTATTTTTATTAATTTTACAGACAGAGAGAGAAACATTGACTCTTTATTTATGCATTCATTGGTTGACTCTTTCTTTTTTTTTTAATCCTCACTTGAGGATATTTTCTTCCATTTATCTTCATAGAGAGTAGAAGGGAGAAAGAGGGATAGAGACATTGACAGGCTGCTCTTGCAGGACCTGGACCAGGGCCAACCCAAACAGAGCCAGAGAACAAACTGCAAACGAGGTACATGCTCTTGACAGGAAAACAACCCGCAACTCTTCTGTCTACGGGGCGACGCTCTAACCGTTGAGCCAAACAGGCCGGGCTCATTGACTGACTCTCCTATGTGCCTGGGACGAGCCTTGGTGTATTGGGGGGACGCTCTAAGTAACTGAGCACCCCAGCCAGGGTCCGACTCTATGTGAGAAAACTTGGAAGTCTCAGTCCAGTTCTTCAACCTACTTTAGCTTTGGAGACTTCAAGAGAAGTTCTGGGCACACCATCTCTCCGAGAATTTAAATGCTTTTCGCCTTAGAACATCCTCCCCACCACCAAGGGGCGTGGTTCCTCATTTGGGTGCCCTCTGTCTCGTGCTTCACGCCCTTCAGGCCTGCAGTCAGAGCTGAGAAGAGACAAGGAAGAGGGAACAAAGAAAGAGTCGAGGGAAGACATCCTCACCCAATCTGGCCACTGGAACTCCAGCCTGGTCCCCATCAAAGAGCATCTGTGGGCAACAAGACTGAGAGGCAGTGTCTGCCTTTTGATTGGCTTTGAAATCTCTCCCCTCCCATTGGTCGGCATGACTCTTGATTGACAAGATTCTGAGGCTGATGAGAACCAGTGGAAGCTTGTTTCTTCCACCTCAGGTGTGAAAGATCGTCCATCAGGCATATTCCCATGACAACACTGATAAACTCTACCTCTGTGATAGAAGCTCTGGGCTTCTGGAAACAGTCTCCTTCTTCCACCAGAGACAGGCAGCTGGAGACTGGTAGTGAGAAGCTCTCTGCTGGTCATCTGAGTGTCTGCTTGCCCCATAGTCTCAGCTTCCCAAGAGAAACTATCTTGTCCATCTTCTCCACTTTCATAGCAGCGCTGAGAACACAGCCTTCCTGGTTGAGAAGGTGTCAATGAACTATTCAATGACTGTTCTTGGATAATGAGGTCTGCTGGAAAGGACAGAAGTCAGAATTTCCAAGTGTCTATTTCTTGTTCATCTTTTTTTTTATTTTTGATTGTGATAGAAACACTGAATATAAGATCTACTCTCTTACTAAGATTTTTTTTATTGATAAAGAGAATCATCGATTTGTTGTTCCACTTATTTATGCATTTATTGGCTGATTATTTTTTTTACTTGATTTTTAGAGCGAGAGGATGGGTAAGAGAGAAACATCGATGTGATAGTGAAACATCAACTGGCTGCCTCCTGCATGCCCCCTACCAGGGATAAAGCCCAAAACCCCAGCATATGCCCTGTCCAGAAACTGAACTGGCCACCTTTGGGTACACGAGATGAAGCCCACCCAACTAACCCGCACACGCCAGGACTAGTTGATTCTTGTATGTGCCCTGACCAGGGATCAAACACACAATCTTGGCATATCTGGACGATGCTCTACCCAAATCAGCTACCGGCCAGGGCCACTCTTACCAAGATTACTAGTGTGAAATATGGTGTTGTTAGCTAGAGACACGGTGTTGTTCAGGAGATCTCCAGAACTTACTCATCTTGCATAACTAAAACTTGATACCCATTTAGCACTAAGTCCTCACTCTCCCCTCCCCCAGCTCTGAGAAACCATCATTCCACTCCTTGATTCTATGAGTTTGACTGCTTTAGATACTTCTTTCAAGTGCCGTCATGCAGTGGTTGGCTTCTATGCCTGGTTATTTCACTCAGCATAATGTCCTCCAGGTTCACCCATGACATTACTTCTAACGGGAGTTTCTCTCTTTTTCTTTTTGGTTCCCTGGTAGCGGCCCCAGAATCTGGCATAGAAAGTTAAACGTGGTATAATGTACCAGATTCTCTATGATATAATATCAAAAATCCAGGCTGCGTGCACATGTCTTTAGACATCAAGAGACCTAAATGGTGACTAAACTGAGCAGTCCTGCAATCAGATGAGTGAGCCCTGGACCTCTGGAGGGGTTTCAGGAAACTGGGCAGAGGCCTGAAGGCCCCATCAGAATAGGGCGAGGGCGCCACCTGGTGGTCTTCTGTGACTAACTCCCTTTATCCATCCTGCTTAGGAGTGTAGGCAGTTGCCACCCAAAGAAAATCTTATGAAGCCTTTTTTGATTTTGACGACACAGAACAAATAAGTAGAAAAGTAGTTAACAAAACAGTAACCTCAAAATTTATGCATATACAATCTCTCACATGATTTTTTTTTAATCTTCGCAGTACACCCACACTTCACCCTCCTCAGTTGTCACAAGTGCCTCATCCAAGGTCTTACCCACTGTGGAGAGAGGACATGCTGTCACAAATGGACAGACCGCATGACCCAGACACTCCTTTTTATTTTTTACTTTACAAACAAGGATATATTTTGATTCATTTTTAGATAGGTGAGGAGAGAGAGACAGAAGCATCGATCTGAGAAACATCAATCTGTTCCGCCCCGACCAGTGATTGAACTGGCGACCTAGGTATGTGCCCTGATGGGAAATGAAACCCACCACCTCTTGGTGTAGGAGACGATGCCCCAATGGCCTGAGCCGCCCGGCCAGGGAAGCTTCAAAAAAAATTTTAGACCAGTAAGTCACCGATATTCAAAAAAAAGTACACTTTACTTTTGAGAGAGTATTTTGATCCTTTTTGATACTTATACCCCAAGAGAGGATCTTGTTTAAGTTGCAAAGCAGTTTAGTTTCAGGTAGCTCTTCTTCAGTTCTCTAGAGTTTCATACATCGAAGGCCTGTAACATGTGAACACTGTGAGAATAAGACTTTATTTAGAGGATGAGATAAGTTTAAGGCCATGTGGTTAAGAACAGCTCCATCAGCCCTGGCCAGGTTGGCTCACGGGTTAGAGCATCAGAGAGGAGCCCACAACTTATCCCTGTCCTTTGAGGAACTGTGAGGCCTGTCACCTGCACAGCTGTTACATGAATATGGCCACCCGGTGTGTGGTGATTTCACAGCAGCGACAGAACACACCAGCACAGAGGATGCTCTCAGTCCCTGCTGCTCATGTCCCTGAACTCCTCTCCTCCCGGACCTTCTGCTCAGCTCTTCCTGGGCCCCTCCTGGTCATCCCTGAGACCTCGTCCCTACCAGAAACCCCACCCTTCCACAGTGCACCTCATGTTCCCACGCTGTGCCCACCATCTCCCCGTCATCCCGCAGGGCAGCCTCAGCTCTGGACTCACAGGTGTGAATGTATCATCACGTGATGTAATGTAACATCAGCAACACATTCACCACACAAGGGCCTGTTTCCCAGGCCCCAGCCCCGCTCCTGTGCACCATCAACCCCCACAACCCTTAGAGCCCATTGGGATCCTAGTTCACGACCCTGCCATGCATTCTATCCCTCGCCCTCCATGTCCTCTCCACCTCCCTCATTCACAGTAACTCCCATGGTCCCTCCCTTCAGCCCCACACCCACCCCCGTGGTCTCCCTTGCTGTGTTACCTGCTTGGGGACACCACACAGCAGCGAATCCAGGTGCTGCCTGCCCTGCATCTGCCCACACAGCCACAGGAGGCTGGAGACCCACACAGCCACGCTGACGCCGTCACCTTATGTCATGAACCAGACCCAGACGGGGCACACCGCTGACCAGCCCTCCTGTCCCTGCAGGGCTCCCTATCTCCCCATCCTGTGCTAACGTCCCCTCATCCCCGCTATTACTGCCTGTGCCCTTGTGTCCTGCTTACCTGAGGAACTGAGCCCTTTAGGAGACACTGTGACCGACATCCAACTGCATCTACCTGGAGGCCTTCCCACAGGTCCGCGTCCACCTCCCAGCCAGAGCCAGTCCCAGCTGCTGCTCAGGCTCATCCCTCCTCGTCCACTCACAGGTGTGGTCAGCAGGTCTTCCCTTTTCCTCTCCTGTCACTTTCTTTTCCCCTGGGTCACCTTGCAGCATGAGACCCCACACCCGGACCCCAGCCAGAGGGCGGCTCATGGACTGAGGCCCCTCTCCAGTCTGGGCTCTGCAGTCTGTGTCCAGGTTTACTCTGCGACCTCGCTTCTCACAGGCTTCTTCCATCAAAGACAGAGATCAGCAGGGAAACTGAGGCAGGGCCATTGCTCCTCTAAGGCTGACGGAAGCCCCAGGTCCCTGACGCCCTCTCTGAACCTTCCTTACTCTCCCTGGGCCCAGGGCGCCTCCAGCCCCACGTCCTCCTCTCTGCATCACCTGGAGACCACACTGAGCACCTGCAGCCTTGAGGACCCACCTGCGCCAGGTGAGATGCACTTTGTGCTGAGGATGTGGGGACTCACACAGACCATCGGGTACGGAGTGAGGTCATTTCACAGCGTGACCTTCCCGCGTCCCCCATACTGTGTGCAGTAGAACCTAGGAGGCTGTGAGTCTGACGCAGGGCTGATTAGAACCTGTTCTGTGCCAAGGGGCCAAAATCACCGCTTTTACCAGAGGACCGTCCTGACGTCCAGCTTCCCAGGGCGTGTTCCCCACTGTGGTCACGGACCACGAGGAGTCTGGTCGCTGAGACTCTGCATCTGCTGTTTGCACACCCAGCTCCTCCAGGATGAGACAAAACCCTGTCCCGCACCCTCCATTCCCAGGGGAGCTCACTCTCTGCACCAAGTTCCCTGGGATGTGTTTTCTTCTAGAAGAATCCAGGGGGAGAGAGAAAGGTGAGAGGCAGAGCGTCCACTTCAGGGAGACGGGTTCTAGGAACAGAAGAGGAAAAGGAGCTGGGCCCAGCCTGGGGGTGGCTCCCTGGTTTCCTCCCACAGTCCCTGAGCAGGGACCCAGGGAGCCAGGTCACAGGGAGCTGTCCTGCAGGAGGAGGGTCAGAGACAAGTCCCGGGTCCCCACGCCTGGCTCTCCGGGCCTCAGCACCAGGGCGGAGTCTGGGGCACAGAAGCTCACTGTTGGGGAGTCCCCTGCTCCCTGGTTTCACTTCTGCCTGTCACAACCTGTGTCGGAGCCTTTTTCCTGGATACTCATGACGCAGACTCACTTCTCACTCCCATTGGCCGTCCTTTTCCTCAGGAGCCAATCAGCGTCCCCACCACCCCCAGTTATCAGGTCCCCGCGGACCCGCCCGGACTCAGACGGTCCCCGGACCCGAGGATGCCGGTCATGAGGTCCCCAAGCCTCCTCCTGCTGCTCTCGGGGGCGCTGGTGCTGACCCGCAGCTGGGCCGGTGAGTGCGGGTCGGGGAGCGGCCTGTGCGGGGAGGAGCGGGCCGGGCGGGCAGGACCGGGCAGCCGTCCCCACCGGCCCGCTCCTCCCGCCCAGGCCCCCACTCCCTCCGGTATTTCAGCACCGCCGTGTCCCGGCCCGGCCGAGGGGAGCCCCGGTTCCTCGAAGTCGGCTACGTGGACGACACGCAGTTCGTGCGGTTCGACAGCGACGCCGCGAGTCCGAGGATGGAGCCGCGGGCGCCGTGGATGGAGCAACCGTGGGTGGAGCGGGAGCACCCGCAGTACTGGGACCAGCAGACGCGGATCCACAAGGAAACCGCACAGACTTCCCGAGTGAACCTGAAGACCCTGCTCGGCTACTACAACCAGAGCGAGGACGGTGAGCCACGGCCGCCCGGTCCCGGCCCCATCCCCACGGACGGGGGGGTCGCCCCGGGGTCCGGGTCCGAGCTCCACCCCGCGGCTGCGGGACCGCCCGGCCCACCCGGGACGAGCCCGGGACTTCGACCCGGTTTCACTTTCACTATCGGTCGGAATTCCCCGGGTGGGGGCGGGGCTGACCCCTGGGAGTGGGCGGGGCTGACCTCGGGGCGGGGTCAGGGTCTCACACCCTCCAGTGGATGTACGGCTGCGAGGTGGGCGCGGACGGGAGCCTCCTCCGCGGGTACCATCAGTCCGCCTACGACGGCAAAGACTACATCGCCCTGAACGAGGACCTGCGCTCCTGGACCGCGGCCGACACGGCGGCTCAGATCACCCGGCGCAAGTGGGAGGAGGCCGGTGTGGCGGAGCGCTATAGGAACTACGTGGAGGGCGAGTGCCTGGAGTATCTCCGCCTGTA